GGGGTATAAATACTGGGGTATGTTCCTGGTATGGTGGGGTATAAATACTGGGGTATGTTCCTGGTATGGTGGGGTATAAATACTGGGGTATGTTCCTGGTATGGTGGGGTATAAATACTGGGGTATGTTCCTGGTATGGTGGATGTATGAATACTGGGGTATGTTCCTGGTATGCTGAGGGTATAAATACTGGGGTATGTTCCTGGTATGGTGGAGGTATAAATACTGGGGTATGTTCCTGGTATGGTGGGGGTATTAATACTGGGGTATGTTCCTGGTACGGTGGGGTATAAATACTGGAGTATGTTCCTGGCATGGTGGGGGTATGAATACTGGGGTATGTTCCTGGTATGGTGGAGGTATAAATACTGGGGTATGTTCCTGGTATGGCGGGGGTATAAATACTGGGGTAGGTTCCTGGCATGGTGGGGGTATGAATACTGGGGTATGTTCCATCACTATCTATTTTGTATGGATGGATTTTATAGACTTAGTGGTTGATTTGAATGCAAATAGGAGCGCTCACTCTCCCCTTAGCTTAGTGAATGAGGTGAAGCTCTGCTGACTTCCATCAGCCAATCAAACCAAAAATGCTGTTTTTTTTTTGTTTTTTTTTACATTTCTCATGTTTTTGGGTCTTCTCTGCAAAGCAAATTCTTACCACATTCAATAAGCTGAGGGAAAGCGAGCAGTCTAATTGCCTTCAGCGAATCACCCCCTTTGTGTCATGACACAGGTGCTAACCACCTTCTCTGTAAATATTCATCAGCGGCACGACGCCATAAAAGAAGACAGGAAGTAATAATTCATGAACGCACGTCACGCACAGACGCTCTCACCCCACACCTGAGATTCAAAGGAGCATTCAAAAATAATTGTAAGTCACCCAATGACAAGAGCCCCCCGAGTGTATCAAAAAGAAAAAAAAAAGGTTTCTCAAAAATAATAAATCAGGAGCGGCCGCGTTTTCTTTGAAATACAAAAAAACTGGAGCAGCGGTAAGATCTGCAGCAGACATTGAGCGCGGCAGGAGCCCGGCGTTTGATGCGGAGGCTCATAATTAAAATGCAAATTTATGTCGTACAGCTCGGCACTCTCTACAACTCACTCCACTACATGAATTATTAAAAGGGCTCTTAACGTGAAATGCTTCGGCGTGTACCGAGGAGCAGGGGGGGCATCTAGCTGTGGATTCTTTTTTTTTGAAACTCGAGGCGATGATGATAATTAGGAAGTGGAGAATTAAAAGTGACTACCAGAGCCGAACAGATAAAAACGCTCATGCACCACGTACGAAAAAAAAACTGCGTTCTGCACTGAAGGGCGCGTGCAATTTTACCCGCCAGTTGTGATCTACACAAGTGATAAAAATAAAATAAAAAAGATAATTGTCTCAAAAGTCTGTAGCCCTCATCACCTTCTGTGGTGTGGCTACTAGACATGCCTGGCTGGATTTGTGGTGGCCAATATATGGTTGATTCCAGGTGTCTGGCCTTGACTGTGCCCCCTTGACTGTGTCGCATTAAGAGGCGGCCAATGGGAGGCACTGTGGTGTGTGTGCAGTGCAACGGCCGATCGCTGGGCTTCTCTCCGCCTGTGGTGCATTAGGGTTGCCACCTGTCCAGGATTCACCCGGACAGTCCGGGTTTTGAATGCTGTGTCCAGGTTTCATGGCAGCAGAAACACGGACTCAAGATGTCAGCCAGACAGGGGCAAACAAAATTAATATAGGGGCTACTGGCCCCACACTGTACAGTCTTGACTGTTATATCTACCTATGAATGGGCGGCGCTATTTACATATGAATAAGCCACGACTCAAAAAAAATGTTGCGCGTCGCTAGAGTGTTCGGGTTTTGCTTCAAGAAAAGGTGGCAACCCTAGGTGCATGCTGGGATGGGGTGCATGTGCTGGGGGGATTTGCCATGGGCTCAGACTAGCCGGGACCAGCCATGGAATAGCGCTGGGTACTGTTCAGCCTGCCCCCCAGGCTAGGCCGAGGCATGTGGGTGGGCATGGGCTGGTGTGAGGGAAAAGGTTTCCCTGAGGCCTCCAACATAGGGTTGCCACCTGTCCAGGATTCACCCGCACAGTCCGGTTTTTGAGTCCTGTGTCCAGGTTTCAGGCCAGCTGACACCCAGACACTTTAAATATTTTGACAGGTGTCAGGGAGATGGAAGAGGAGATGTGCAGGCCTGCGGATCACAGGAAGGCTGCCGAGGTCCCCAGCTAGCCAGCACAGCGCTGCTGAGAGCCTGCACGAGCCACCTGAGACCCTGGAGACATAAACCATCTACATTATATAGTGTAGGCATTTATTCTAGTTCTATGTATGCACTGAGTTATTTTCATGGATGAATTTCCACTGTAATGTGGACCTGTGTGTGTCTATGTATATACAGTAGAGTGAGGTGAGTGTTGGCTCCCCAGGAAAGGCAGTGTGTTATTCACAGGATCCCCAGGTGAGATTTCAGGCTTAGCCCAAAAAAAGAAAACCAATGCAGCCACTGTATCCAGAGGCGTAACTAGAAATCACAGGGCCCCATAGCAAAATCTTGTATGGGGCCCTGTGATTTCTAGATAAATCCACCTGATAATCCAAACCGCCCACCGGAGGGTGACCCTGCAGAGTCCACCATAGACTCTCTATGGTGAGCTCTGCAGGGTCTCAGGTGGGGGGTCAAGCCCTCTTACCTGTCTGGCCTCCCCATCGCTAAGACCTGCCTCCTCGATCGCTGAGCCCCGCCTCCTTCATCGCTGCCGACGACGGGCCCAGCCACCTCCCCCGAAGCTGCTGGTTGTCACCGACTCAGCAGCTGTGAGGAGGTACGCGCCGCTGCACATGTGAATAGCGGCGCGTTCCTCCTCACAGCCGCCAGTGACAGCCAGCAGCCTAAAATGCCATGACGACCCAGGCAGCTCGCATGGCATCAGTTGGATGTCCTGGCCGGGGCCCCCTGTGCCCCGGGGCCCCATAGCGGCCGCCTGGGTCGCTATGGTGATTGTTACGCCAATAACAATATCTAAGGACTGGTAAGCTGTAATATATTGCATGTTTGTTTTTGGGTTAATTATACATAAATATGCCTCTGCTTCTTAAAGGAGAACTATGGGGTTAAGTCTTTTCCCCATAGTTCCCCAGAGAGCCGTGACAGGATCGAGAGGTGAGCGAGCGCCGGTATGTGTTCGCTCACCTCCCGATCTACTGAGCCGACCTGTGACAGTCCCATTGTCACAGGTCGGCTAGAACTATGAGGTGAGTGAAAAGCACCCACCTCATAGTTCTCCTTTAAGTCATGATTTCGTATACATGCCGGAGATATTTAAAGACATTTTCTTCTTGCAGAAAAGACTTACCCCACCCTATGATTGTGTACCAGTAGAAATATCGCCTTTCTGGGAAAAACGTCTCCACCAGCAGAGTGAAGAGGTAGAGTCCTTCAATGAAGAGCCAGAAATAGTTGGACATGACGCAATAATGGAAGAACACCATGAGGGCTTTACATTCCACCTGGTATGAAGAGAAGATGTTATGTTAGTAATCACAAATAGAAATACTTATACGCATAAAACACAACTGAGACGGATCATAAGCCGGCAATCTGCTTCTCCTTCATTGATGTTATTACCTACTCAATGAACATGTCTGTGAGTTTGAGTTCACCAGATGTAGCTCTTACAGGCTACGAGAAGACATTTCACTGGGTTGCTGCAGCTTATATCAACTCTATGTCAACCGTGGGGATTCGTCCCAAACAGTAGCGCATTAAGGACGCATCCACTCACTGAGATCTTCATCTCAAGGGTTTCCTTGCCCACTTTTATTAAATCAAAGTTCACAAAAAAAAACCAAGGCAATTACCCTCGCAGGGGTTCTTCAGCATCTTTTGGCAACACATGCCCATCTAGCCTCCTGGCTCTGCATTTTGCAGCACTGCTGCTCCACACTCTCAGACCACTGTCTGTTCCTCCAGACGGTCTCAGTCTTGTGCTATCCTGCACATTTGGTTCTTTCAACCCGCAGCACCCTGCTGCACTGGACTCCACTCTGACTCCTGGGTGGAGCCTTCCTGTCTCCCAGGTGGATCGAGTCCTGAGCCCTTCCCAACACCTTTATTTTAAAGGCTGTGCACACCTGTGCCATCAGCATGCACTGGGCACTCAGAATCTGGACACAGGAAGGGATCAGTTACGAATTACGAAATAACGGATATTCCGAAACGAAACGAAACAGAACGAATTTTTTGACGGCGCACAAGTCTAGAGATTACACAGTGGCATTGCCACGCACCGCCACACAACTTATAAAGCATTCACTTATTTGAAAGTGTCAATATGGCACAATCTTGTCCAACAGCAACACCTGTCCTCAGAAATGCGATTTATGGCTGAATGGGCACAAATTCCTACAGACAAACTCCAAAATCTTGTGGAAAGCTTTCCTAAAAGAGCAGATGATTGTATAGCCATAAATAGGGGAAATCCATAATAATGTCCATGGGTTTTGGAGTAGGATGTCCAACAAACTCAGGCAGGTGTGATGGTCAGGTGTCCACAAACCTTTGGAGAAAGATCAGAACTAGGCATGCACCGGTACCGATACTAGTATGGGTATTGGGGCCGATGTCGAGTATTTGGGCGAGAAATCGTACTCGCCCAAATGCTCAGATGCCTAGACCCATACCTGAGCTTCCGGTATCAGGAAGCAGGGCAGCGAGTCATTCCACGCTGCCTGGCTTCCTCATCGGCTGGGCAGCCGACTCCATGCTCCCTCATCACTTTGTGACAAGGGGAGCCGGCCAATCAGGAAGCCAAATGGCGAGTCATTACCCGCCCCCAGCTTTCTGATTGGCCAGAAAGCCAGCTTCATGCTTCCTCGTGACCTGGTGACGAAGAAGCATGGATCCTGCTTCCCAGCCAATCAGAAAACCGGCTCCATGCTTCCTTGTCACTTGGTGATGAGGGAGCATGGAGACGGCTTCCATGCTAATCGGGAACCCGGGGTGGCGAATCTTTACACGGATTGGCTTCCTGGCTAATCAGGAAGCCAGGTGGCAAGTCATTACATGCCGCCTGGCTTCCTTAATGGGACTTCTGGTATCAGTACCGAAAAAAAATATCAATACTCGTACTCGATACCGAAAAAACTGTGTCTGTGCATCCCTAATCAGAACCTCTACTGGATTTCTATTATTGTTTGTGTTACTATTGAGGACTCATACTTTAGATTTACTTCATGTCTTTTGTTAACTTGACATATCGGAGGATTTACCAAAATAACTGAATATCTGGGTACTCAAGTCTTGGGCTGATCCTAGTGGAAGTTATCGTATTTCATTCATTTTTACACATGCATTATTTTGTTCCTACTTCTACTTACTGTGGAAACATGGCAGTGGTTGCTGTCTTGTTCGGCGTAGAGAACTTCATCTTTGATGAAGACCGATACGGCTCGGAGGATGAACGAGACAAAAAGATTCATGTGGATGAAGTTGCGCGTACAATGAAGCTTCCTGGAACACACACACAATGTTTTATAAGTTTTACATTTGAAAAAAAATAAATCGGGTGCGTGGCTGCCACACCAGTTGAGCTAAAACTTGCCCCAGACACTTTCTGTTAATTACCCCTATGCATTTGGGTAATGCGCTTTCAGAGCCAAAAACTAATTTGGATTTGACTAAAAACACCCACTCCTCCCAAAGTATCTTCCAAGGCAAACAGCTAAATACATATGCAGGAGGTGTTTTACCTGCCAAAGGATTTGTATTTCTCTACAGCCAATTTTTCACAGCTCTACCACACGGCACATCCCTGTCTGGCAGGGTAGGAGACCTGCTACAGTTCAGTAACACTTACAGATCCTATTCCTCACCCAGCCTGTGACTGGATAGCAGGGACATGCATCTAAAGTCGGTAATGACAGCTGAATGCAGAAGTGATGTAATATACATCACTTCCTGCATTTGGGGACCGGAGTGGAGATCAAAGGAGATTGTGTACTCATCTATTTTTGATCTCCTGTGACAGAGTCAACCTGCCGGGCACAGCGGATATCGAGACCGGCGGCGGGGCGCACACCCACACCTAGTACAAGCGATCGGGCGCCTCTACAGACGCCAGATCAATTGTATGTAAACAGCCGTCGCTGGCTGTTTACATTTATGAGAGTTTCCTCACTCATGTACGCGCTGGGCGCCACGCACGAGTGGGGGTGGGAAAAGGCATTTTAAAACGCCCACCCGCTTCTATAAGGCTCCTGTCTGGCCATTTAGGAACAGCCAATGGACGGGAGGGGGTAAACCAAGGTTCCTCATATCAAGATTAGAGGACATCTGTTCATTAAAGCAAGGTCAAAAAACATGTTTATGATTTTATGTTTAAACTCTTGTTACCTCAACTATTAGACATAAATGTTCTACATGAACTCTAGTTAACCTCGACCTTAGCCGACCTGTGACAGTCTCATTGTCACAGGTCGGCTAGAACTATGAGGTGAGTGGAAATCACCCCCCCCCTCATAGTTCTCCTTCAAGTGTTTTACATGAACTCTAGTTAACTTCGACACAAAACGCTAAATGTTCCACATGCTGCTTATTCATACAACCAATATAAATGTATTATATGTATATATGGTGTTTCCACCATATAATTGTATACTATATGAATACAGACTTATGATTAAAGCACAATTTATAATACTGTATGTTCATTAAACTAATTAACATAATAGAAGCTTCACAGTGTGATTATGGAGGGATTATCAGTTTACTCTCTACAACGGTACTGTGGAAATTACCTGGGGAACTTACCTAAAGCGGCACAGGATAACCATGGCAGTGGTGAGTGCCACAAGGGATGTGCTGTATCCAACGGTGTACAGCGCTTTCACGGACAGGAAGTAGGTGTCCTAAGAAAGAGAGGCAAGGGTTTTATCTTTACATATATTAGATGACAAATTGACCCAAAGCAACACACAGCTTTAGGAAAATAGTTATTCTGGTGTTTTTATAGAAACATAGAAAAAGACAGAGCAGTCCATTGAGTCGGCCCCTTTTTTTTTAACCTTTTATTTATTTTAGCAACATAGAAGAGTGGCAGCAGACCCTAAAGATATTGTTTCAATATCAAAGGCAATGCCACTTCTATGTGCATATCTAAACTGAGTCTATACATTAACCATTCTCAATGTAATTCTGAAAAAGCAAAGGCCATTCTTTTGTAGTCCCAAATTCTTTGTGTGACTTCATTCCTCATTATCATCATCACAACAAACTGAAGCTCAGCTACCATCGGTGGTGTCCCTAGTCTTTTTGCCTGAGGTGGGCAGGGGGAGGGGGGGGATCGGGTTTGGGGCTAGTGGTGCGGTGATGGGGAAAAGATGATAGAAAAGTCACCAGCACACCAACTGTGTGCATTGCTTGCCTAATGAAGGGACCCACTGTTGTCCTGAAATATCATAAGCTGTGTAATATGTTCTGCTTGCATCAATAAAAGATGAAGAGATATCATAGTTGGCATGCTGGTGACTTTTCTATATATTACTGATATTGCAGTGCCATCCGTTTGTCAATGCTTACACCCACTTCAAGGGGGTCAGTAGTTTGATAGGACACATGCAGTAGTGCGGTGATGGTGGAGGAATCAGCTCCACCAGACAGGAAAGTGACGTCGCCCTCTGCAAGCTCCGCATCTCCCGGCCCGGCTCTTAGCAACCTGAGACGCCCTGGCCGACGTCCCACCCAACTTCTGGCAACCAGTGATGTCACTGGTTGCCAGCAGCTGGGCTGGACACCAGCCAGAGCATCCCAGGTTGCTAAGACCTAAGCAAGGAGATATGTATGGCCCTTATACATCTCACTACCTGGCTGTTAGCAACCTGGTACGCTCTGGCCGGAAAGGGGGTGGCAGGCACACTGCAAGGATTGTGCAGCTGAGTGCCCATGCCACTCTGCTTGCTGCCCCCCCCCCCCATGTGACCCAAAGCGATGCCACCTGAGGCAACAACCTCAGGCTGCCTCATTAAGGGGACAGCCCCAGCTATCGTCATGCAATAGATAACTTCCCCATTTTGCTTGACAGTCAAATGCATTCCATTACCTACTGGCCTACAACTGTTGACAAAGTGGAATATTCTTTACTGGTTCCTTCTATCCCTTTCTGTCTGCAAATGTTCTCATTCTCAAGAAATGTGCATTGTAGATTTTGTGCAATTGACCAAGTTACTCATTTTCCCAAATAATGTTCATTTTAGCTGCAGAAACGTCTCTCTCCCTTTTCTCCAGTGTGCAATCACAATTTTTAAAAATATTCCCTAGAAAGTTTAGACCTCTGTTACTAGGAATGAGCAACACTGAGAGTCTTCACTTCCTTGAAATTTCCGGGAAAAAAAAAATCAGCAGATTTTTACAAAACTTTGCCATTGGGGAGTATAAGAGTAATGAGAAGTCAAGAGAGCTTTTTGGTGGTTTTTATGGGGGGCAATGGGCTTTAAAGGAGAACTATGGGGTCAGTGTTTTTCCCCATAGTTCTCCTTAGGGTAACGGGAGGACACAAACTAGCGTCCTCCCGTTACCCTAAGCTCAGTATACCGCGAGCTACAGCTCACTATATACTGAGACGCCGCAGCCGGAGCGGATTCCGACATGGACGTCGGGATCCGCCCAGCTGCGTGAGTGACAGCTGGCTTTGCCTATCTAGAGGCAGAGCCAGCTGTACCCGCCCCCTCCCCCGTCTGTTCCGCCAGTCAGCACTGGCAGATCGGAGCGCGGAGAGGGGAATCCAGCCCCTCCCCCTGTCACGGCAGAGAGCCGTGACAGGATCGAGAGGTGAGCGAACGCCGGTATGTGTTCGCTCACCTCCCGATCTACTAAGCCGACCTGTGACAGTCTCATTGTCACAGGTCGGCTAGAACTATGAGGTGAGTGGAAATCACTCATCTCATAGTTCTCCTTTAAATTGCTCCTGAGGGTTAAATATCCTGCACCCATTCTTGTACCCAAAAAAAAAAAAAATTCTCCCATTAACCTCATTATTTTAGCTTTTTAATTAAAGATCAAATATACACAACATAAAACAGTAACACCCAAAATACTAAGCACATCTACCCTATATACACCCTTTAATTAACACGTTCTCAAACAATTCATCCCCACACAGCTACCTCCTCATGTATCACTTGCCCCTCCCTTTTAGATTGTAAGCCCTCAGGGGCAGGGCCCTCCTTGTCATCTTGTCTTGAATTGTATTGTGATTGTAATGTCTTCCTTATATTGTAAAGCGCTGCGCAAACTGTTGGCGCTATAAAAAAATCCTGTATAATAATAATAATAATAACACACACTCTCTAAATAAAGAAAAAAAAGAGAAGTTCATTTTTTTGCAGCAATTTTGTGAAAAATCAGTTTTACTGAAATCACTTTTCACCCCCCCATCCCCATCCTTATTCTGTCTCCTTTGAGCTGACAGAAGGACTATACAACAGAGGAAAGGACCAGCTGAATCTCTGAAGACTCTTCTCTGATTCTTACCTGGTCGGGTTCGGTCTCATTAACATCATAGCCGCACGCATCGGAGTAATGAGGGAAGGGCTCTGACCAGCCATTTTCTGTGCAGTTTCTGCTGATAACTCCTTCTGCAAAAAAAAAGAAATGCAAAGGACCCGTCAAGTCATACCTCAAAAAAATCTAAAAATGGACAAGACATGCACATGTTCAGATTCTTATACAGCTCAGGAAGGTATACTTCATAGGAGGGGCAGTGGGACACTCTACAACCAACTAAGGTATATTTTACACAGGGCCGGTGCTGCCACTAGGCAAACTAGGCAGCCGGTTAGGGCGCACTGCTGCCTAGAGCGCAGCCTCGGCCACTTACCCCCCTTCCCCATCTATTTCAATTTGCAAAAGCCAATAGCAGGTTGGCTATTGCGCCTGCCCACTGAGCAGAGAAGCGGGAACTGAGAAACAGCTTTATCTCTCTTTAGCTCCTCTGCTCAGTAGGCGGGGTTTCAGTAGTCAGTCTGATATAGGCTATTTCAAATTAAAATAGCCAATAGCAGTCTGGCTATTGCTCCTAGCTGCTTACATCCATCTGTCACCTGCGAAAGCTAGCCAGCAGGAGAATGGAGCCGTGAGGACGGCTGAGGGTACAGGTAGCTGGTCTTGCCTAGGGTGCAAAATAATCTAGCACCGGCCCTGATTTTACAGGAATGTCATCACCATATATATGCCGTATATATTGCGGTAGTGACATCACTACACTCCATATATGAGCTATATGTTACAGTATAAACATCAACACCTTCCATATACACTGCCTGGCCCCCCAAAAAAGTCACCACCTGCATTTCAGTCATTGTTATGATCTGGGCTTGCTTTAGTTGCTCAGATCTTGGTTCAGCAACATTATCTCCCCATATAATGAGGTCAGCTGAATATAATGAATGACACAGTTTTTCCATCAATTGATTTTTTTCTTCTCTGGTGGCACATTGGGCATATTCCAAGATGACAATGCCGGGATTCATCGGGCACAAATTGTGAAAGAGTGGTTCGGGGAACGTGAGACATCATTGTCAAACATGGATTGGCCACCACAGAGTCCAGACCTTAACCCCACTGAGAATCTTTGGGATGTGCTGGAGAAGACTTTACGCAGGAGGTCCGACTCTCCCGTCATCACCCCAAGATCTTGGTGAAAAATGAATGTAACTCTGGATGGGAATAAATGTGAGAACATTGCATAAGCTTACTGAAACGATGCTTCAGCGAATGCGTGCCGTAATCAAAGCTAAAGGCCGTCCAATGAAATATTAGAGTGTGTGATTTTTTTATTTTTTGCACAGGCAGTGTACAAGCAATATTTTACAGAATTGACAACATCACTTTACAAATATAATATACAGTATACAGGGCCTGATTTACTCTCTCTGCTGCCCCAAGACCAGGTTCCTCAATGCGCCCTCTGCCTTCCCCGCCAAACACCCCCCATGTAGAATGGCAGACGTGCAGGCTGCATACAAGTTATCTCCGCGACATCGCTAGGATCACAAGTACTAAACAAGAGGCGGCTTCCCCGCTGTACATTTAGCTCTGCGTGCCCAAAGCAGGGCTAAATGTAGAAAACTACTACCCGCCCGGCACCCGGAACTGCATGTCCTGCGCATCGGGAGATAGGAATTCCACATCCCTGCTGCCCCTCTACTTCCTGCTGCCCCAAGGCTGGGCCTTGGTTAGCCTTGTGCCAAATCCGGCCCTGACAGTATATCTTACAGAAGTGACGTCACCGCACTCCAAATGTTGGTTATATCCTACAAAATGAAGTCACCACTCTCCAAAGATGGCTTATATCCTACACGGGTGACCTCTATTTATATATATTGCAGGTGGGTGGACCCAGCATATTTAGAGGCAGTGTCTGGGTAGGACCATCCTGTAAAGTGGGCAAGATTTGAGTGCGCACCACCCAGAAAGTGGGTGGAGGAAATGCGGACAGTGGGTGGGGTATCAGTGTTTCGGATCTGGGACCATAATGTTGGTAAGAATGCGCACCTACGGGAGAAGAAAAGTATAAATCCAACCCTGCATATAACACACAGTGCTTGTAACCTTTAAAGGAGATTGGTAATGTGTATGGTCGTCATAAGACAAAGGTGGAAATGCAAAAATAAGAAAGAAAGCTTTATAAACTTATTGTACATACAAACACCTGACATATTTCCTTACCAGACTGAATCCCTTCCAAGGTATCAAGAGATTCTAAAAACAAAAGAGAACATCTTAGAAAATCAGAAAAAACATATGGACAGAGATTCATAGAAGTAAAAGGTTCAGTTCACCCAAAACAATGCTTCAGTTTTAGCACAATGGAAAAAGTTTTTGGGGACATTCTGGTCTAAGATTCTTCAGGTGTCAACAACTACTGTGGCCATTGTGGGGGATCGCACAATCCCTTTTAATTTTTCATCTCATTGGGATGATCTAAAGGTTCAAGGTGGACAGAACAGAACCAAGAAATGTACCAGGGAGATCTCACATCTGGGGTTTGTAAGAGATTTGAGGACAGCGTTGAAGGGTGGGGCGGAGGAGGGAGAAGCCGCAGGCTGTAGCCGCCCCAAGGACCAGCTGTGTCGGCCGGCGGGCGCCCTTGTTGCCACGGCGTCCTGTGCCGCCGCACAGCTCGAACACCCCAAAGGCCGGCCCTGGTTGCATGTTACAGTCTAGTTATGCTCAATCCAGCAAGATTTTTTTATTTTGTCAGCATAGGGGGGGACCATGTGTGAGCAGAAATAAGAGTAGGGTGGGAGTCAAGGATGTGCTTACCCATATGGGACTGCCCGTCATCGAAGTCCATCCCTACAAACAAAAACGAGACAACTTTTAGTAAATTTGTCAGACCAAAAAAAAAGTCACCAATGGCAGCCCACATATGTACAGACACGTATACAAATACTACTAACCACCAAATAAGACTGGGCACCGCGCCCCTAAATGAACCCATCCAAAAATAACACATAAACAATGGGGCTTTTAGGGTGCCATATTTAGAAGGAAAGAAACACAAACCTCATGTACATCACATACAGTCAGGCAGTCCCCGAGTTACATACTGTACAGCAGGGTTAGTTGTATTGCTACAGCGCTTGTGCTGACGAGGAGTGCCCGCCTTTTTGGGTCTGGTTTGTAGTACCGTACATACATTACAGGAAGTTGGCTCTTGTTAGTCGTGCAGGCGAGGGGTGCCCGCCTCTTCTTCCGGGTCACTGTGAGGTTTTTACTGCTGTCTGTATCCTCGTTAGAAAGATTTAATCTCACTTCCTGTCCTTGAGACAACAGGAAGTGAAAGAAAATCTACCCTTAGGAAGGGAAATTCACTCCTGTAAGGGCTCATTCACACTGGAATCGGCCCAGCACCTACAGCTCCGTGCTGCGTGCATGGACTATCGAGCAGTTCTCGGGAAGGACAGGTGCTGCGTGTGGTTAGTACGCAGCCCCTGTCCTTCTCGATGGGACTACGCGGCTGTACGCCCCACCCCCCCTACGCTTACCCGCCCTGCACGTCCGTGAGGGTGCGGGTGAGCGTACTCGAACACTGACAGGATGGATCCTGTCTGCGTCCGAGCCGGGAAACACACACCCGCACTTGAGGTGAGCGTAGAGCGGCGTACAGCCACGTAGTCCCATAGCGAAGGACAGAGGCTGCATACTAATTACACGTAGCACCTGTCCTTCCCGGGAGCTGCCCGATACTGCCCTGCACGCAGCACGGAGCTGTACGTGCCGGTCGATTCCAGTGTGAATGAGCCCCTAGAGTGCTCATAGGAAAAAAGTTGTCTCCATTGAAGTTTTATCACCAATCATTGTTTCCATGACAACCCAAAATCTTCAATATCCAATTGTCGCAGGGACAGAAAGTGAGGTGAAATCTTCTGAACAGGGCCGCACACAGCAAAACAAATGTTACAGGGGGGTTAACCCTTCCCTATGCTATCCAAAACCCCCCCCAAAAATTTGGGGCTGCAGTTACACTTTAAAAATGTACCTGTTCCAACTTACATACAAATTCAACTTAAGAACAAACCTACAGACCCTGTCTTGTTCGTAACCCGGAGACTGCCTGTATATCAATTATTTTATCATTTATATATTTTTTAGAAAGATAGAGTAATAGACAATACATTCACTACACGCTAAAATGTGCGTCATCATCATCAACTTCCTTCCATTATCTTCAATTTATTAACATCACCACATAGTTCCTCCCCCAGACCACATTGTGTATAGCTAGCCGGTGAATGGGCTTTATCGTCATCAATTTACTCATCACAAGTAAACTGAACATATTTCCTAATAATCGTGACATTAATCATTGAGTCACGTATAAATGTGCAGTGGGTCCAGCCTTCTACGCGCTTCGTCGTAACTTCTTCAGGAAGATAGGAGGCCGCTAGCGTTTGCATAATGAATCAGTACATTGGTCATTGCATATTAAAGGAGAACTATGGGGTCAGTGTTTTTCCCCATAGTTCTCCTAAGGGTCAGGAGAGGACATAAACTAGCGTCCTCCTGTGACCAAAAGCTCAGTATATCGCGAGCTACAGCTCGCGTTATACTGAGACCGCCGCAGCCGGGACGGATCCAGACATTACTGTCTGGTTCCGCCCAGCTATCTAGAGACAGAGCCAGCTGTATCCGCCCCCTTCCCTGCCTGTTCCTCCAGTCAGCGCTGGAGGATCAGAGTGGGGAGGAGGGGGAATCCCTGCAGGGAGCCGTGAGTGACAGTCACGGCTCTCTGCAGGGAGATGATCGAGAAGTGAGCGAGCGACGGTATGTGTTCCCTCACTTCCCGATCTATTGAGTCGACGTGTGACAGTTTCATTGTCACACGTCGGCTCGAACCACGAGGACGAGTGAAAATGGGTACTCGTACTTGATACCAAAAAAACGGTATCGGTGCATCCCTAACACTATCATTTTCTCCAAGTTTAGTGGTGAATCAATCTACAGCCCACGGGGGCAACTGCCAACCCAGGAGACAGGGAGAGAATAAAACAACGCCAAGGTGACCAGGTAAAAAACCAATATAATCCCCCATAAAGACATAGAAAAAATTATGTCATGATATGTATCACAATTTTTTTCTAGGTGTTGATGAGCTCTGTCTCTCTGCTCTCACCTTCTTTCAACATGCTCCATACACTGCAGTACAACTAAATAGCATCATGTGCATCTCCTCCCCTCTCTTAGTGCAGGCTCTGATGTGCAGGTACTGTAGGATGCTGGTACCATGCCAAGGATTTTTTTCCTCCAATATTTGCCTAAAACTGTACTACACATCAAGAGAATTTTATTATGTCTAAAATGGGAAGCTGGAAATAAAAAGTCATAAACGCAGCAGAATTTTATGTTGATTTGCCTATTTTTAGGACCTTAATATTTTACCAATACGATTATTCAGATTATATTTACACACGGCATCAATGTGCAATAACTTATATAACACAACCTATGTGCATAGTATGAACACAGCATTCTCTATTTCAACCACATGATGGCGACACAGAGCAATATATAGAAAAAAGTCTTTCAATTACAGAACCAGAAGACAATTACAAATAATGCTAAAGTAGTGTCCTATTGGACGATATCTGCAGGAGAGGAGTAAGGAGGATATGACGGGGGGCAGTATGTACAGGAGAGGAGTGTGGAGGGGATGACAGGGGGCAGTATGTACAGGAGAGGAGTGTGGAGGGGATGACAGGGGGCAGTATGTACAGGAGAGGAGTGTGGAGGGGATGACAGGGGGCAGTATGTACAGGAGAGGAGTGTGGAGGGGATGACAGGGGGCAGTATGTACAGGAGAGGAGTGTGGAGGGGATGACAGGGGGCAGTATGTACAGGAGAGGAGTGTGGAGGGGATGACAGGGGGCAGTATGTACAGGAGAGGAGTGTGGAGGGGATGACAGGGGGCAGTATGTACAGGAGAGGAGTGTGGAGGGGATGACAGGGGGCAGTATGTACAGGAGAGGAGTGTGGAGGGGATGACAGGGGGCAGTATGTACAGGAGAGGAGTGTGGAGGGGATGACAGGGGGCAGTATGTACAGGAGAGGAGTGTGGAGGGGATGACAGGGGGCAGTATGTACAGGAGAGGAGTGTGGAGGGGATGACAGGGGGCAGTATGTACAGGAGAGGAGTGTGGAGGGGATGACAGGGGGCAGTATGTACAGGAGAGGAGTGTGGAGGGGATGACAGGGGGCAGTATGTACAGGAGAGGAGTGTGGAGGGGATGACAGGGGGCAGTATGTACAGGAGAGGAGTGTGGAGGGGATGACAGGGGGCAGTATGTACAGGAGAGGAGTGTGGAGGGGATGACAGGGGGCAGTATGTACAGGAGAGGAGTGTGGAGGGGATGACAGGGGGCAGTATGTACAGGAGAGGAGTGTGGAGGGGATGACAGGGGGCAGTATGTACAGGAGAGGAGTGTGGAGGGGATGACAGGGGGCAGTATGTACAGGAGAGGAGTGTGGAGGGGATGACAGGGGGCAGTATGTACAGGAGAGGAGTGTGGAGGGGATGACAGGGGGCAGTATGTACAGGAGAGGAGTGTGGAGGGGATGACAGGGGGCAGTATGTACAGGAGAGGAGTGTGGAGGGGATGACAGGGGGCAGTATGTACAGGAGAGGAGTGTGGAGGGGATGACAGGGGGCAGTATGTACAGGAGAGGAGTGTGGAGGGGATGACAGGGGGCAGTATGTACAGGAGAGGAGTGTGGAGGGGATGACAGGGGGCAGTATGTACAGGAGAGGAGTGTGGAGGGGATGACAGGGGGCAGTATGTACAGGAGAGGAGTGTGGAGGGGATGACAGGGGGCAGTATGTACAGGAGAGGAGTGTGGAGGGGATGACAGGGGGCAGTATGTACAGGAGAGGAGTGTGGAGGGGATGACAGGGGGCAGTATGTACAGGAGAGGAGTGTGGAGGGGATGACAGGGGGCAGTATGTACAGGAGAGGAGTGTGGAGGGGATGACAGGGGGCAGTATGTACAGGAGAGGAGTGTGGAGGGGATGACAGGGGGCAGTATGTACAGGAGAGGAGTGTGGAGGGGATGACAGGGGGCAGTATGTACAGGAGAGGAGTGTGGAGGGGATGACAGGGGGCAGTATGTACAGGAGAGGAGTGTGGAGGGGATGACAGGGGGCAGTATGTACAGGAGAGGAGTGTGGAGGGGATGACAGGGGGCAGTATGTACAGGAGAGGAGTGTGGAGGGGATGACAGGGGGCAGTATGTACAGGAGAGGAGTGTGGAGGGGATGACAGGGGGCAGTATGTACAGGAGAGGAGTGTGGAGGGGATGACAGGGGGCAGTATGTACAGGAGAGGAGTGTGGAGGGGATGACAGGGGGCAGTATGTACAGGAGAGGAGTGTGGAGGGGATGACAGGGGGCAGTATGTACAGGAGAGGAGTGTGGAGGGGATGACAGGGGGCAGTATGTACAGGAGAGGAGTGTGGAGGGGATGACAGGGGGCAGTATGTACAGGAGAGGAGTGTGGAGGGGATGACAGGGGGCAGTATGTACAGGAGAGGAGTGTGGAGGGGATGACAGGGGGCAGTATGTACAGGAGAGGAGTGTGGAGGGGATGACAGGGGGCAGTATGTACAGGAGAGGAGTGTGGAGGGGATGACAGGGGGCAGTATGTACAGGAGAGGAGTGTGGAGGGGATGACAGGGGGCAGTATGTACAGGAGAGGAGTGTGGAGGGGATGACAGGGGGCAGTATGTACAGGAGAGGAGTGTGGAGGGGATGACAGGGGGCAGTATGTACAGGAGAGGAGTGTGGAGGGGATGACAGGG